AAAGAAACCTTAAGAATGTCTCATTAAAGGACTTCAATTTATGTAGATCAAGCTAGCCAGTAGGGTCACCTTTTCCCCCTAGTTTCCTTTCCTGCATCTTCTGAAGACTTTTTAATTTTCAGCACAACCCTCTCCCTAGTTGATCCTAGCAGTTCCCATTGCACAACAAAAGCACACAAACACTGAGCTGCAGCTGCACCTGCACCCTCCCACAGACTGCTCCATATCACTGGCTGGAGATGCAGTGTGCAGGCTCATACTGTTACACACACATTGTGCAGCACATGGTGGTCTGAGAATGCATGTGCCGGGCAGGTCTGCTCTAATGCCTCTGTGTCACTTTAAGAGTGACCACTGGAAGTACAGAACTCCAAACAACTTAGTTTGATATGCTGCACTTTTGCCTAACAGCTAAAAAATGTGTGATGATCTGTATTTGATTGTCTCAGAATGTAGAAATTCTAAACTAAAAGCCCACTAGCACCTTTCTTGACCTGACCCTGAGTTTCTGCTGAGCCAGACACTTTTACAGCCTGAGATTACTTAACATAAGAAAAACCAGGCTGAGTGATTCTTGCAGCATCAAATGGACAAACTACCCTATGGTCATCTTTGGTGCAAAAGCCCCCATCCACCCCACAGCATATAGAAACATTTTAATATGTTTTGGAGATTAATGTGCCTTTGCAAAACTGCAGATGAGTTGTTACGTGCTCGTACATTGTGCTTTGCAGGTGGGAACGGAAGTATGCCAGCAGCTCATAGAAGCACAGAATCATAGAATAGTTAGGGTTGGAAAAGACCTTAAGATCATTTAGTTCCTAACTCCCTACCCATGGGAGGGAGACATGTCATCCAAGGCTCTGTCAGCCTGGCTTTGAACACCAACAGGGACCGAGCATTTACAACTTCCTTGGGCAACCCATTCCAGTGCCTCACCACCCTTACAGTAAAGAACTTCCGCCTTTTACCCAGTCTAAACTTCCTCTGTTTATATTTTAACCCATTACCCCTTGTCCTGTCACTACAGTCCCTCGTGAAGAGACCCTCCCCAGCATCTTATAAGCCCCCTTCAGATACTGGAAGGCTGCTTTGAGGTCTCCACACAGCCTTTTTTTCTCCAGGCTGAACAGCTCCAACTTTCTCAGCCTATCTTCATATGGGAAGTGCTCCAGTCCCCTGATCATCCTCGTGGCCCTCCTCTGCACTTGTTCCAAAGTTCCATGTCCTTTTTATGATAAGGACACCAGAACTGCACACAGTACTCCAAGTGAGGTCTCATGAGGGCAGAGTAGAGGGGCAGGATCACCTCCTTCAACCTGCTGGTCATGCTCCTCTTGATATGGCACAGGATACAGTTGGCTTTCTGGGCTGCGAGTACACACTCCTGGCTCATGTCAGGTTTCTCATCAACCAACACCCCCAAGTCCTTCTCTGCAGGGCTGCTCTGAATCTCTTCTCTGCCCAGCCTGTAGCTGTGCCTGGGATTGCTCCGACCCAGGTGTAGGACCTTGCACTTAGCGTGGTTAAACTTCATGAGGTTGGCATCAGCCCACCTCACAAGCGTGTCAAGGTCCCTCTGGATGGCATTCCTTCCCTCCAGCATATCAACTGAACCACACAGCTTGGTGTCATCAGCAAACTTGCTGAGGGCGCACTCAATCCCACTGTCCATGTCAACGACAAAGATGTTAAAAAAGACCGGTTCCAACACTGATCCCTGAGGGACACCACTCGTTACTGGTCTCCAGCTGGACACTGAGCCATTGACCACAATTCTTTGCATATGGCCATCCAGCCAGCTCTTTATCCACTGAGTGGCTCATCTATCAAATTGATGTCTCTCCAATTTAAAGACAAGGATATAATGCGGGACAGTGTCAAACCCTTTGCACAGGTCCAGGTAGATGACATGAACTGCTCTATCCCTGTCCATCTTTTCCATAGCCCCATCACAGAAGGACACCAAATGGGTCATGCAGGATTTCCCCTTAGTGAAGCCATGCTGGCTGTCATGAAAGACCCTGTTGTTTTTCGTGCACCTTAGCATGCCTTCCAGGAGAATCTGCTCCAAGATTTTGCCAGGCACAGAGGTGAGACTGACTGGTCTGTAGGTCCCTGGGTCATCCATTTTCCCATTCTTGAAAATGGGGGTTATATTTCCCTTTTTCCAGTCATCAGGAGCTTCACCTGACTGCCATGATTTTTCAAATATGCTTGACAGTGGCTTAGCGACTTCTTTCACCAGCTCCTTCAGGACCCGCAGATGGCGGAGGTGGGGAAATAAGCTGCTAAGCCACTATCCATATTTGAAAAAAATGATGGAAGTCATATAAATTCTGCTTTCATACCATATCCCTGGCTTCAGGAGACCTACTTATCTATATAAAGAAGTTATTTTCACATAAAATTACAAACTAAGAAGTAAAATTTTACTAGTCTGATTCCCCATTTGGCCATTAAAACATATGTTCTTTAATGTTATTTAAGTTTATTTCTTGCAAGTTTACTTATTGCAATTTAGACACTGAAAACCAAAAATAATGAGTCAGAGGCCACCTTATGCTGGATCAATTGGAATTTGTGACACAGATAAGCCATCAGACCAGTGAACAAGTTAAGTTTTCTCTTTGGTATTAATTTTCCCCTCTAAAATGACAAAATAGCTCCCCTCCACCTCAACCTTTTTTCTCCTCCTTCTTACTCAGGAGCAGCAGTGGCTGATGAAAATGTGTAGAAAATTTGATACATACGGAATCTTTATAATTTTTTATTTAATCTTTTGCGATTCTTTTCCAACATTCTTGGGGGAACAAAACATGGAAAAAGTTAAAAATAGATCCTGAAATGTCCTCTCACAGGGAGAGGAGTCTTCATACCAGCAATGACTATGACATTTTCAAGGCTGGATTTTCAAGGCTGGACTCACTTTTCAGCATGCTTTTTTTTTTTTTTTTCTTCCCAGGAGCTCCCTTATATCTAAGTGGTAGTTATGAGTGGTGCATACTTCGAATTTTCCGTTTCGCCATAACAAAACCTTAAAATTCTGGAGCCCAGAGAATTAGGGTTAGTAAGGGAAATATTTCTATTATTAAAAAGTGTCTGCAGGAAGAAAGCTGCAAAAGAGTACCCTGGAGTTTAAACCTTACTCCTTCCTTGCTTCTCCCTTGTTGCAAGATGCTGTTTCTTCTAAAATACATGGTGTCTCTTTGCATCTGTAAGGGAAGAACTAAGTGCTGAATAGCATTAGCCCTTAGCATGAGGGTCCAGAGCATTTTATATGCAGTTTACAAGTTCAGATCCAATTCAGAAATTTAGCAGCAGGGCAACACTTCAGAGGTGCTTCAGAATTTATGTGAAATTAACCAATCCCAGCAGAATTTGTAATAAACAGGATGCAACGTTACTACCGTAAGCAACAGTTCATCTGACATTTTTCAAGAACTCAAGGGCTCCCCAGACATGAAATTTTAAAGGACACCCCTGACGCATATTGATGAAGCTATTCAAGGAAGTTTCATTCACTTTGGTCCTGTGTGATGGATAGATGAAATTTTATTGTTTAGACCTCTTAACTTTGGGTAAACCTGGGGTTCCTCAGGATCATTATCTTTATATATAAAATAAAATCAAAATGAGAAAGTTGTTGAAAATTGCATTTTAAATTAAATATACTTGACATGTTCCTATTAAAACAGGATTCTTTATTTGCCACAAACTGATATCCCAGAGTTTTTATACTCTGGCTTTGTAAACTGTTATTTTAACCTCCTAAATGAGTATTAATGTTTTGGAAGTGCACCAGTCCTCATAAAAATTGAGATGAAATTTAAATGTTCATGTATACCTAATCAAATCTTCATGAGTAATGCAGGACCTGAACTGAAGGATCTCGAGAGAGAAGGGAAAACTTAGTGTGGAAAATGACGAGTACAAAGCAGGAAAACAATTACCTGAGCTTGTGAAGCTACTTTTATACAGCTGGCTACTCCTACATTTCAATTTGATTACTGCTTGCTGCTTTTGTCCCTGAGAATCTGGAAGCCTGTGTGAAAGAACTTGCCTTGTCTATGGCTGTCTGAAGTGTCAGAACATGATGTAAGGTGCTACCTCCTCGTTTAAACTTTTGCCTAAAAAGGACAAGAGCAAGTATATGTAAGCATACTGTTTCTTTTCTTGAGACTTCTTTTCGAGTTCTGAGTTGTTTTTTTCTTTTGCATATATAGACGTCTTATTAGGTAAGTTTAACAAATATCAAGGTAAGAGATCAATGCTTCAGACTGCAGAGAGACCCACTGCATAAATCAAGAAAGCCGTGAGAAGACACTTCCCTGGTTTTAGTTACTTCACACATTAAAAAGCAGAGTGCAGGAAAAAGCCTGTGTACAAAGCTAATGGTCATGCAGCATTCACGTGAATTACTGTATCATCATAAGGCAAGTGCAGCTTAGAAAGGGAAAACTAAGCGGGCAAACCGCATATAAACAAAATCAAAGGGCAAAAAGTAATTTCACTTGACAGACCAAACCCTTCTGATGTGGTGACAGCACAGTTTCTGTAGTAAGTCAGCTTCCAGCACGGCAAGCTCTCCAGGACAAGGAGTTCGCCACGTTCTATGGCGCAGCGTGAAAACCCCCTCAGACCTCCCTGAGTTCCAGCCTTTCGGGGCTGAGCTGCGCGAGAAGCCCCGCAGCGAACCGCGGCGCTGGCTGCGGCCCTCGACACCGCGCGGCTCTGAGGCGGCTGCTGTTCCTCCGTCACCACGGAGGGTGCCCACCCCGCCATTCGGAGCCGCGGAAACCCTGCCACAAACAGGCGGAGCCGCCTGCGACCGCCTCGGTGAGGCGGAGGGGCGGGAGCTCTCACCGGTCCTCCGGTGCTTGAGCTCCCACATCGGCGTCACCAGCGCCGCTACACCCCGGCAGAGGCAGCGGCTCAACCAGCACCGCCCAGCCGGGTCCGGCCCTGCCTCGCCTCAGCCGGCCCTGCGTCGCGGCGGAAGCGGAGGGAGGGGAGGAGCGGCGGAGGGGTGCCGGCCGTGGCGGCGGCTCCGTGGGTTGCTCCTCGCGAGAGCGGGCGAGGTTTCCGGTGTTGTGACTGCGGGGCCGTAAACATGGCGGTGAGTCTCCGCGCCCGGTCGTTGAGGCACCTCCGCATCCGAGGTAAGGGGCCAGAGCAGGCCGCGGCCGCACGCTGTGCCCTGGCCCGCTCTAGCACCACACTGCTGCCCAGCCGCACCCTCCCTTCTTTTCCTCCCCTTCTTCTCCGGCTTCCTCCTCTCCGTCAGCATAACGCGCTTCTCTCTCCCTGTCCCTGCAGGTCGGAACGACAGCGGCGAGGAGAACGTCTCCCTCGATCTCAGCCGAGGTACAGTCTGGGGGCCGGCGGGGAGCGGAGGTGCCGCCTGCCCCTCCCTGCGCGCCCGCGGCGGAGGGCGGGGGGAGCCGCCGGCGGCGAGCGGCCTGGTGCTGCGGTGCGGCCGCGGGAGCCCGGAGAGCGGTGGGGGGAGGTGGAGCAGTAGCGGGGTGCCTGTGCCCACCACCGGTGGGCTACCCGGCGACCTGTAGTGAGCGGCACTGCCCGTAGGTGGAAGCCTTTGCTCACCCGTGTCGGGAACTGTGGGGCCGTAGCGTTGGCCGTCCCTGGCCGCAGACGAGCGTAACTCCTACGTGGGGGCATCGGTTCCCCGGCCGCTCCTGGGGTTATTTCCAGAGGGCTTTGTAGACGGAGCTCTATGTTTACAGCTGCCGTACCGCAGGAGTCGGCCTCGCCGCCGGGACTCCCTCCGCCTGCGGGTCCGCTCGGCGGGTCGGGCGCTGTGGCCCGGGGGAGCACTTCTGCGGTGGGGCTGGACCTGCCCCCATACCTTGTCGTAGAACCCTGCCTGTCCTATGCCGGCTGGCCACCGTGTTTGCCGTGAGCCGCTTGCGGTTAGACCAGAGGGCACTTATCTCCCGTTTACTTGTTAAATTGTTTCAAACATCCTCCACTAATCTCAGATGTATGGGGAGGAACGGGGACACAGATAAGAGGAAGGAAGAAACAATAACATCTGCTACACACCAGCTGATTTCGTCTCAGGCAAATAGGAACTTGTTCCCTACCCAAATACGTAGTTTATCTTGCCGTGCTGAGGGCCAGGGTAAGGGTTAGATCTCTCAAGGAGCTGAATAAAATGCAGAAAACGAACTGGCGTACTAGAAGCAATGACTGTTCTTGGGGAAGAAAATCTTTGTCTGGGGGAGGGAATAAATTTCATGGTTGTAGTATAACTGTTCTGTTTCAGGAGATCAGGGCTGGAGCTATCCTGAATAGGTCCATTTTACGAGGAAGGAGGCAGGGAAGTGATAGAATCAATGAGACGACTGTGAAATGTAAAGGAAGTACAAATATTAGCAGCATCAATCAAGTTTTCAGTTTAGTAAGAGGCTGTATCAGCAATTCCACCTCTACTTCCCTTTTCCCTCAGTATGATCAGTGTTCAGAATTTTTTTTATGAAACAGTTTTGCCATGGGCTGAAAGCTATCTCTCTGTGTACATATGTTTGCACGTGTATTTTTGTTCCTGGGAAAAAGTGCTGAGGTTTTTTCAGCTTGAAGAAATGGGCTCTTACGTTTCCTCCCACCCTGTATCCAAATGGACATGACTGTGTTAGTGAGACACTGTCTTTAAAATTAAAACAAGTGAAACTTTAGTCAACAAAATGTATGACAAAGGCCTTAACAGTTTGAGCACATGCCACAGTTATTAGTGTAAGCAGTGTTACCTGTTCATGAAATTTAAAGTATTGGGATTTTAATGAATGGTTTAGTAATTTTTGATGTTTTGTAGCATGCTGAATTGTTTTGGTGTGGAAGAGCAATACACAAAATTTAAATTCTGGAGTGGTATTTTTTACATGTGCTCTGTTTGAAATCTTTTACTTGGAATTTGATAAGTGACTATTATTATGGTATTGATTTTTGCCATGAGGTGTTTTCAGCCACCTACTGATTCCACGAGACAGTAGTAGTAGCAGTGCAACTGTGTATCATACTATAAAATAGGCTCTCAGGTAAGATGCAAAATAATTTTTTAGTACAATAAAAAAAAGATGTTTTGCACTGTGACTCTGTATAGCCCCTATTTAAAAATGTTGTGGTAATTGCAACCGATTAAGAAACTGCTTTATATTTAGTTGTGAACCAGTTACCAAAAAAGTAAGGGGTTTGGTTTTTTGTCAGAGAAACCACAGTTGACTGATCAGTAGTCATATAGCTATCCATGATAGTTATTAACCTCATTTTAAAGAGAAAGCAAAAGTAAAAAGTTAAAAAGTCTCAGCAGGACATTAACTAACCTAGATCATAACTTGATTTCCACACTGAGCACAATGTTTTTTTTTCCAGCTGTTGCAGTAGTTACGTAAGTGATTAGTTTAAATATTTTAAATTGCTAGCCTCATTCTGTACTGGTAATACACTGATTTGATTCACTGTGTTGAGTGGATCACATAGTTTTCCACAAGGCTTATGTTTTCTGTAACTTTAAAGAATATTCTAGTGGGTTTTGTTTCCCTGGTCAGCTGAATTTTGTTTTGATTAACATGAAATATCTGATTTGGGCAAAGAAGAAAATCACCATAAACAGTGCCTCAGACATATGGTTCTAGTTATAGTGTCCTCTTTATTACAAACATGTGAAATTATGTTGGTATTGCCTTGTTTTAAACAGATTGCTATTAGTGATGGCTTGGCAAACATGACTTAGCATTCAAGTTAGACCTTTGCTAGTCCATACCTGTGGACTGTGTACTAACTACACTGTTTCCATGCAAGAGGCCAGTGCTGTTATTAAGTATTTCAGAACTAATAATAGATGTGGGGAGGATGTTAGCCCTGTTTGTGCTGCTTTGAGTACTACTTCTTCCTGGCTTTTTGTGCAGTAAGGCTGGGGGAATGCTTTGCTTCTTTCTGCTTATCTGCCTTTCTCTGTGTGCTTTTTGTTTGCTCTTTCCTTTGCTGCTGTAGTTTGAGGGTTGCCCATGTTTTCCCAGGACTCACCATGTTTACCATAGCTTGTATAGTATGGTTTCACTCTTTAGAGCCATCTTGGTGCCCTGCCATTTTAAAAATGGTGCATAATAATGCTTATGAAATGCATTTTATATGATGGTGCACTGCATGTATATGTGTGTGAACTCCTGTGTATAAGACTACACTGGTTAAAGATTATAATGTAAAGTCTTATGGTTTGCTGTTCCTCATAGTTTTGGGGATTTTTTTCTCCTTGGTGTTTTTGGTTGTTGCTGGAGTTTTGTGGGGTTTTTTTGTGGTGATTTGGGTTTGTTTTGTGTGTGTGTGGTTTTTTGTTTTGTTTTGTTCTTTTCCTTTTAACTTATGGGCCACTCAGTCCAGGCTGGCCTCCATCTTTTAAGAGGATTCTGGTAAATCTGTAATTTTTTCAAAAGAAATTCTTTTGGGACAGTAATTTTCTAAAGAAAATTAGTTTGCTGAAAGGATGATCAACTCTGGAAAAATCGTCCCCAGCACATGTTCTGTTGATTACAAATTCCAGTTAATAACTGAGGTTTGGAGTGCTCAGGTTTTGGCCTTGTGTCATATTACCTGCTCAGAATAGAACAGAAAAGGAAAAGGAGGACAGACTTGCCACCCGTGCAACTCCCATTACAGTCATCTGGAAGGAATTAGCAGTGGGATGAGGCAGATTGGTTTAATTAGACTACTGAAATCAACCTTGTAACTTCTTAAGGCCAGAAAGGACAATTGGAGTTATCGACTAGGTTAGTGCATTCAGTAGGAATTTTTGCATTGAGTCTGGTCATGGTTGTGTATGTCATCACAGCACAAGTATTACGTGATTTTAGCATAATTCATCTTGGTTTCTGACTGTTTTACAGATATTCCAAACCAAATTACAGAAACGTATATACCTTCCAAAGGTTTAGCCTCTGTAAAAGGCTGTATAATCCACACATCATTTGCTGCTCTTTTCTTGCCTTGGTGCCTGAATCTTCCTATTCTCTTGGGTGACCATCATCTCTGACTTTGTTCTGATTTTCAGCACTTGTCCTTGGTGAAGGCCCAAGTAGTTTAGAACTTGCATAGTTGAAGAACCATGTCTCACAGTGCTTTATCTGTAATCAGGCTCCTTTAAATGTCCTTCCTTCAAGAGATCCCAGTTTTCTTGGATTTCTGTAGCTCTGAGCCTGCAAGTGGCTGTTAACAACTTTTCAGAAGCTTTAGAGAGATGCAAGAGTGCCAAGTGATGATGGTCAGGTACTGTTCATGTCTCTGTCTTCATTTCTTCCTTTTTGGGGGTAACAGTTTTCACTTTCTGGTACTGTACTTCTTAATTAACTGAAATGTACCTGTATCCAACATCAGTACTTTATTATTCATAAACATGCATTATGAGGTAGTACTTAGATGTAGCAGTTCTGTTCGTACAGCCAGCTCTCTCTGCTTTGTAAATGTTGAGTCTTCTAACTACAACATGAGGCAGATATGAACAAAGTAGTTGAGGAAACTGACTTTTTCTGCCTAAGAATGTGTTTCACAAAATTGGCTATTGTTCTCTACAGAGTTAACCATTTTCCTTCTTTGCCTCTACTATCCATCATTTCCTCCTATCATGTGGGTAAAAGTAAAAGATACAGGAGCTCCATATAATTTGAGATCTGAACTGTATTATTTTTTGTACCGTGCTTTCATCACTTTAAACGATGTTGCATTTGATTCCATGTGCCCACATGGCAAAATATAATGCATTGCATGCAGGGCAAACATCTCGGGATGCTATTTGCAGTTTACAGCCCACAAAAATGTCGGGCATTTTTAAGGGTTATTTGCGGGATAGTCAGAGAAGGCTAGATGAATTTAGTTTCCAAATTGAGCTTGAGATTTGACCATGCTGTTCGCAGCTTCCTGCATCAGTATGGAAGAAGCAGGGAGGGACACTGCGCACCTGTCTGGTACTGAGAGCCCAAGTAGTGGGGGAGGGAAAAATCCCCACCCATTTTGGAGTTGACTGCTTGTAGCAAGGCAGTGGGGAACTGGGGCATAATGTTAACTTCCTTGGTGGCTCAAAGGCAGTTGTTCCATACTACTGGCAAGACTGTTACCTGGAGCCTCTTGGGTTTTTTTTTTATACTCTTGAAGTATGTATTCTGGCTTGAAAAGGAAGCAGTGGGGCTCCAGTGCACTGTCAAAACATTACCTTAAAAATACCCAAATAAACAAAATGTGTGGGTACTTTTCACCCTGGCTTTGCAGTATGCCATCACTGTGATAAGTAACCGTAGCAGGATACTTGTGTTAGATCCACACAGAGAAATAGCTCATTTTTTGCTCCCTCATTTGTGAAT